AATAAATTAAATTAATTAATGAATTTTTAATAAATAAAAAGGATAACATCAAAATTGAAACTTACCTAAGTGGCTACTAAAGTCTTTAAATAATCTATTTTTACAAATTCGTTATTTCAAGTATCATTCGATATCGTTTTGGAAGAAAAAGATATATAAACTTTTTTAGGTTTTACTACTATGCCTTACGACAAATATAAAAAAAAAATAATAAATTAATTGATATTTTTTTTTCTTAAAAAAAAACTATAAAATCAGAATATTGAATCTAAACTCACTTAAATAAAAAGGCGGCGCCTCAGAGAACCTCGGAGAAAGACTTTATTCGAAATACCTTTTGGAGCGAAAAGGTAACTAATTTTTATTTTTTGGTTACTACGCTTCAACACAAAAATAATAAAATATAAAATTATTTATTTCTAGAAAAAAACCAAAAAAAATAAGATATTAAACATAAACTTACGTAAAGAAAAAGGCAAAAATTAAGATAAGTAAAAATTCAGTCTTTTTTTTTTGCTTTAGATAAAAAATTTTATTAATAAATTTTTATATTTTTTATTTTTATATTTTAACGTATATCTTAAATAAAAATAAAAAAAAAAGGAAAAATACTTTCAAAAGGCATGTAACAATCACGATGACGCAATATCATAATAATGGAGTAATTATTTATTTAACATAACAAACGAATTCTTTCATATTATTTGAAATAATGCCTACAAAAATTTATTGAATAAGCTTATCAAAAACGGTTTATGTAACAAAACGAAGGTTATTATATTGTTAACATAACCATTTTTGTTTATTATTTTTACAAATAAAAATTTAAATTAAATTATTTATTTACAAATAAAAAAATTTTTTCTATATATATAAGTGTGATTCAGGAGGTGGGTGAATGAGCGTCTCTTTTTCCTTTGATTAGCTACTCTAATAGATACATCGAAATCTAGGTTGATTAGTTACACCAAATCGATTACTAACTCTAAAGACTAAAGAACCAATACTAAAAATCAGAGAGTATCTTTCATAAGAAGATCGCATCAAAAAAGAGTATTTATTGGAATTGTTTTGCCTATCAATGTCAGGGAACTTCACGAGTAACTCCTAAGAAAATCATCGATTATCTATTAATCTAAAGAATCGTCATATCCCAAATTAGGAAGAAACCAACCTGAGGAATATATTCTATGTTAAATTCTGTATTGATCAAAAAAATTTTATTAGTGAGTGACTCTTGACCCCTGTAGATCTGCAATGTCTTGCGACTGTTAGTGTTTTTGATAGTCCAAAGTTAATCATATTTATACACTTCAAATTTTCTTTATTTTTAATAATTAATGAAAATATCAATATAGGAAAATTGAAATTTGCACACATAATTTACATACAAATACTAATTTTAAAATAAAAAAACCTGTTTTACTGTTTTAGTATAACTAACACAAAACAATTTATTTATTTGTTTGCCAATTTTAGTCTGATCAATAAATCTTGGATTATTATTATTATTATTATTATTATTATTATTATTATTATTGTTGTTGTTGTTTGTAAATCAAGTAGTAATTTCAATGATTTTTTGATCTTTTAAAAATATCAATAATTCACTACAAATAAAATGATCATTATTTATTTGTTTATCGGTTTCAGTTGATCAATAAATCTCAGGTCTCAAGATAATTTTATCTTATCTATTTTTAGTAATAATAAATAACTTAAATCTAACATAATTATTTTTTATGGAACTAGTTGACTCACTTCAATTTTAAAATAAATGAATGCATACAAAGTGAACATAAACTTGTATATATAGGGATAAGTGTATATGAAAAGTAATAATAAGTATAATGGTTCTAATGAATATCAAAAAGCAATTGATTTTTTAAAAAAAGGTTGTAAATGTGGTTGTTCTTCAAGAACTCCTAAAGAAGGATTTGTAGAATTAAGAGAATTTTTTCAAGCTCTTTCTAAAGTAGAACAAGATATATTTTTAATGGTCCAACTTAAGGCAATGGATGGTGGAACAGTAAGTGTCAGTAAATGCCTTAAAAAGAAAAATAGATCTAACAAAAGAACTTTCTATCACTGGGATCACAATACACTTTTTTGTCAAGAAACTTATTTCAATATGCTAGGGATTGGTAGAACTTATTTTAAAAATATTAGAAATCATCTGATAAACAATGGTCTTTTACTAAGAATTCATAGTAATATTAAAAGGATGCCTTAATAGAAAACAAAGATGATGATTGATAAAAATGTTGCAGAAATAGTAAAGGAATTTTCTGGAAAATTATGCTGAAGTTCATGGATTAACAAGTCCAGGAAGAAGTATCAATAGAATAACTCAATCAATTGTATTCTTATCAGCTGAAATGAGTTATAAATCAGTGCACAGAGACTTTCTAGCTGGTCTGGAAGAAGATAACAAATTGAAATCCTTAAAATATGATGCCTTCAGAAAATTATGATATCAATTGACACCAGAGATTCAAATTATGAGTCCAAGGACTGATTTGTGTGATACTTGTCAACATTTTAGAGATGGTTTACATTATAATGTTCGCTAAGAAGAAAAAGCCAAAGAATTACTTAAAAGATTTAAAGAATATTTGTCCAAAGCAAGATTAGAAAGAAATTATTATAATAAAAATACCAAATTAATAGAAGAGCAAAGAAAATTAGTTAATCAAAATTATTCCAAGAGTAAAATGTAATATTGCAGCATTGATGCCACTGCTCATTACAGTTATGATTGAGTCCAAAATGTTTATGTGTCACATTTAGATCAACAAGTAAGTAAAATTTATTATCTTAGTCCATGTAAGGTTCATTTATTTGGTATTCAAGATGAAGCAGTAAGGGAACAAATTAATTATATTCTTAATGAAAATGAGATTATAGGAAAAGGATCCAATAGAACTCTTAGCATGATTTTTGATGGAATTAAGAAATTGAACAAAGGTGAAAAGTATTTAAAGATTACTTGTGATAATGCTGGTGAACAGAATAAAATAATGTAACAATTTGATTTTATTTATATTTAATAATTTGTGATTATTACAAAAGCATTGAATTAAATTTCATGGTTCCAGAACATACCAAATTCAAATGTGATGGTAATTTTGGCATAATTAAAAAACTCTACAGAAGAACAAGAGTAGATTGTCTGGATCATGTGGTTGAGGTGGTAAAAAAGTCTAGCCTAGCTGGATTAAATAAAGCTCAATATTATAAAGGTGGAAAAGGTTTTCAATACTTGGATGTCAAATCTATTTTAGGAATTTATTTTAAGAAATTACCAATTATACAGAAATATCAACATTTTCTTTTTGAAGCAACTGATTTTAGTATAGTGAAAGTTCAAGAAGTTGCTAATGTTCCTTTTACTGAACTCAATTAATTGAAAACTAAGAAAGCAGATATTTTTAAAGAGATTAAATCTTTATCTATTTTAGTGTTAACACCACCTCCTTTGGATTACAAAAGGCAAGAATATCTTTACTGAAATATTCGCCCATTTGTAAGGGATGAATTCAAAAATATTACTTGCCCAAGACCATTCTATATTAGAAATGAATAAAATATTTAAAATAAAATAATCTTCATGACTTTGTCACTTCCTTGCTATCATCAAGTTTAATAAGTTTAATCTTTTAACAAATATTGCTAGCTTTTTCCACTTTTAAAGTAAAAAAGTACTAAAATAATTTATATACTTAATACACCCTTATAAAAAGGATATAAGTATATTAAAAGAATATATAAAAAAAGGTAATAAAAAGAAAGTCATGACAAACATTATAAATGAACTGCAAGAAAGTAATAAAAAACTTATAGAAGAAAATGAAAATTTAAAAAAACAATTAACTGATAAAGAAGAAGAACTCAAATTAAAAATCTGACATGTTACTGGTCAGTCTCTTAATGGCAAGGGTGAAGTTAGTTTTTATACTCCTAAGGGAACATGATGATATAAGAAACTAAACAAAAAGTGAATGGATAAAGGTAAGTTAAGGATGTCATTAGACCCTAATGAAACTAGGGAATGAGCTAAAAAAACTGTAAAAGAATTTGATTTGATAACATTAATATTGAAGAAATGTTAGAAGGGTTTATTGATTATTCAAATGATTTAGCTTCAGAATATTCAGAAAGTTGGTCAAAAATCTCTGATTTAAATACTCAAAAAATTGAACAAAAGGAAAAGTATGAGAATCAAATAGTAGAATTGGAACTAAAAAATGAAGAGTTAGAAACAAAGGTAGAAAAGTTAGATGATAAGGTATGAATGGAGTGAAAAGAAGCTGAAAAAGTACTAAATACAGCCATAAAGTGAAGAAAGCATCAAATGTTTGAAACAGTATTGAAACACGATGCTACAATGGAAAAACTTTTGAATTGAATAGTCTTGTTGGAAAATAATTTGTTGGCTAAAAATCAAGAAATAAACTGAAAAGATTATTTAGCAACCAAAGAATTGCCAGCTTTGCCAAAGCAACAAAAGGAAAATAGATTACACAAACTCAAAAAATTAGTAAGCAAAGTTAAAGAAAAGTCTAAAGAGAAGTTCCAAACTTTTATTATTGTTAAAAAGAAAAAATAAAATAAGATTAGAATATAGAGTTTTGGAAATAGTAAAGGATGATGAATAAGAATGTAATTTTTGCTTTCTAGATTTCAACAATCCAACTAATTTCAGCCTTGATACTGCTCCTGCTACTCATTAAATAGTAGGTCGTAATACTCCTAATGGTTATGCTAATATAGTTTTTATTTGTGGCGAATGTAAAAAAGATTATGATAATAATACTCTTTCATGATGTGAAAAGTGTGGTAGGTTAAAGAGAAATAGAAATAGGTGCCTTTGTAGTCATTTAAAAGCTAAATCAACTAAGCAAATTTCTGATAAAGAATTACTTTCACAAACATTCAGTTCTTGTTTAGAAAAGAAAACTAGAGAGCTAGAAAAAGAGTTATCAACTGCTAAAGAAGGGTTAAAAATCGAAAGAGAAGAAGTAGCCAAGTTTCAGGAAAAATCTGAAGAGTGAAGTAAAAAGCAAAAATAGGAGTTATTAGATAAGGTAAAGGGTTTAGAAGAAAGAATTAAACAACTAGAAGAGGGAAAACAGAAAATTAAAAGATCAACAGAATGGTCAATTAACTGCTCAAATTAAAGTCAAAGAGATTAAAAGATGATCTTAATTGAAAATAAAAAAGTAGTTTAAAGAAATTCTGTATAAATTGAAATTCATTTTAACTATCAAAGGAAGTGGTAGTTATTTTGCTTTTAGAGATTTTGCTTTTTATTAGATAATAATGCATTATCATAATGCTTTTTTTTTCCAATACTTATTATTTTTCTTTCTTCTTGGTAATTTCATAGGTAATCTTTTCTTTTCTTAGATAAGCTTCAAGTGTTTGAGTACCACTTAATTTGAAAATATAAGAGGCAATTTTCTCACCTTGTTCTTTCTTCAAAATACTTCTAATAGTGCTATAATTCTTGGGCTCCATAGTAGACCTAATGTAAATTAACTTCATATTAACTATTTTTGTCTAGATGAATATTATGATCACATTACATTGATAATACAATTGTGATGTTAAACAAACAATACTGATCTCTGAAATTCTTGATAATACCAATGTTCACTTTGTCTGGTTTTGTTGCAGCATGTCTCATATATTAATTATACTTTTTGAAATATTTTTTGATTGTTTAATTCTTTTGAATTAATAAACTCCTAATTTATCTAAATATTTTCCTATACTTTTAACTATAAATTTATCTAATTATTATATTCCAATTAACTGGCATAATCTACATAAATTATCTTTTTCTTCAATAATATCTATTATAGTTAACCTTCTCTATGATCACACTTTTCAGGATTATGAAATTATGTGATTATATGAAGGTGTACTTATATTAAGGAATTTATTATTATAAATACTTATATGAAAGGTAGTTAGTAGAAAAGGTAAAAATCAAAATTTTTTGTTAATTTTTATTATTAAGCTAAATTTGTGCACATGACCAAGATCAGTCAAGTGACTTAATAATATAAATTTTGACCAAAATTTGAATTTCTTCCTTTTCTACTGACCATCTCTTATATGTAAAATATTATTGATTTGATTATATGTAAAATTTTGTATTAATTAATTTTATAATAAATTATGTAAGATTTTAAAATTTTGTTTAAAATTTTGAAGAAAATAAGTATAAATTTAATTATCTATTAGTATGAATTAACATAAAACCAAAATTAATCAATATCGTGAAATAGTCAAAATCAATGTCATTATATTACATAATTGCACATTTGTAATACAGTTAAACTTTGATATAGCGAACTCTTGATATAGCGAATTTTTAAATCAAATATATTAAAATTACCTTTACTATAGTGAACTAGCCAATTAAATTCTTTAAAAAATTCGTTATAAGCTTATAATGAAGTTGATATCCAGATTCTAGAATTTGTTATATCAAGAGTTCACTGTACAAACTTTATAAAAAACATATCATATCCTTATTTCGATTTCTTATAGGGATATTCTAATATTATATAACATTTATATTAAACTCTTATTAATATAAACTATTAAATATAATAGTTAATATGATGAATTTAAATATTTTTTAAAGGAAACTGAAGCATCAAAATTTGCAAACGCTGATGTGATAATACAAAATATAATCAGTAAAATGATCGATATGATGATATAAGTATGTCTATTCTGCTAAATAATGGGTTTCAGATGGAACTTATATTATTATTAATTCAGTATATTCACATAAAATATATTTGGTAAAGTCATTTTCTAACTTTAATACACTAACCTATTAAGAAAAAATGTTTAATAAAGTTCATTCTTCAATAAGAATGGTTGTAGAACAAGTATTTGAATTATTAAAAGGATGATAGAGAATTTTATTAAAAGAAGTTAATTATATAGATTTAGAATGAATAGAGCTCTGAACAGATCAGGCCAGTTGGATAATTGACTTGACTTGACCTGATAAGTTCAGGTCAGATCAGATATAAAATTAACCTGAATTAAATATATATTTAATCTGATCTGACTTGACCTGACTTATCTAAAAAAGGAATTTTTTTAGTTTACTAGTTTAATAATATTTATATTCAAATATAAAAGTAATATAATTAATAAAAATAATAAAAAACTAAATAATTATTGATTTTGTTTAATATTTTTTTAAAAAAAATATAAAAAAATATTGATATATTTTTACATTTTATTATTTTTCAAAATAAAAAGATACTAATATAATTATTTTAACTGTAGAAATTAAAATTACAAATTATGATAATCTGCAAATCAAGTTACTACTAATACAATTATGAAAAACGTTTATAACTTTACAACTATTAATCTAATTATAATAAAAATATATGTGCACATATTTTTGAACCTACTGAACAACTTTGCTTATATGACAAAAGTTAATTTCCTTTGACCAAAATACTTAAATTGCTTTTTGAAATTACTATATAAATAAAAAATAAAAATAAAAAAATTCATGAGATAATACAATTAATACAATTATGAAAAATATGCATAAGTTTACAACTAAGGTTGTTGGATGAAATCAAGAGTTTAGACAGACGTCTAAATGGTAAAAGTAAAACTTGATTAAATTATATTAAAACCTTATTAAAAAATCTGCGAAATTTGGAAAAAGGTAAAACTATATCAAAGCTTATAAAAATAGCGAAACTATATCAAACACTTAGTAAAAATTTAGCGAAACTAAAGGTTTTACCGTTTTGCCAAATCCAAAATGAGTTTAGACAAGCAACCTTATTTACAACTATTAATTTAATTATAATAAAATTTTATATGCACTCATATTTTTGAATCTGCTGAATAACTTTACTTATACAATAAAAGTTGATTTCTTTTGATCAAAATACTTAAATTGCTCTTTGAAGTCACTTTACAGATAAAAAATAAAAATAAAAAAAAATTTGTGAAATAATACAATTATGAAAAACTTGCATAACTTTATAATTATTAATCCAATCATAATAAAAATTTATATTTACATATTTTGAAACCTGCTAAACAACTTTACATAAGCAATCAAAATCGATTTTATTTAAACAAAATACTTAAATAGCTCTTTGAAGTCAATAAAGAAATAAATAAAATAAAAAATTTTATGAGATAATACAATCACAAAAAATATTTATAACTTTACAACTATTAATCTGATAATAATAAAATATTATATACACATATTTTCGAATCTGCTGAGTAACTTTACTTATGTGATAAAAGTCAATTTTTTTTATCTAAAGTGCTCAAATATTTTTTTGAAGTAATTAAATAGATAAAAAAAAATTAAAATTAATTTGTTGATTAATGCAATTGCAAAAAATGTTTCTAATTTAAAATTTAATATTTTGATTATAATAAATTATAAAGTAATTATATAAATAACTTTATTTAAATATAAAAGAATGTAAATTAAATAAAATTAAAGATGTTTTAAAAAAAAAATAGATCAAAAAAAATTTTTTTAAATATTTTATTTCGTTTAACTTGATTAGTTAACCTGAATTTTATTAGGTCAGATCATAAGTTTGACCTGACCTGAAAATTTGTCTACTTAATCTGGATTTTCAGGTCAGGTCACAGGTTGACCTGACCTGATTCAGAACTCTAAAATGAATCACTAAGATAATTTATACATGTTATATTTTATATAATATTTGTATTAATAATAGAGATTTATTATTATTTGAAGATGAGATAAAAGATGATAATAATGAAGTAAATGATGAGAAAAATAAAGATGATAAAGAAATATTTATATTGAATAAAGGAAAAGAAAAAATAGCAGGTATATAAAAAAGAGAATATTTAGTAAATCTTCTTATGAATATTTAATATTTATAATTATTAAAAATAAATAAGCAAAAACATGATGATTATAATAATTAAATATAATATATTTTTAAATTTTCATTAGAAACTGCTTAAAGATTTCCATTTGTTTATTATATTATTTTTGCTGAATATCACATGAATGTATATATTGATCTTTTATAGCTCTAATGATAGCTTCTGTTTGTTTTTTAATAAGAATTTGAAAATCTTCCACATTTCCTTTTTCATTGTTAGCATACATATTTTTTTGTTATAAGAATAATTTATAAATTATAATATTTAAGTTATAATATTAATAAATAAATTATAAATAAGCAAATAAAACTTTATTACTTTATTATCTTCATGATTATAAGGTTATTTTACTCTTTATGCTTAATTCCATGAATTGAATTACTTGTAACTAATGCAGCGATATTTGGATTATTTTTTAGAATCTCATCCATATTATTGTAAAATTCCCAGATTTTGAACAGCTTTCTTACTAGTATTTATAATAATATCTTTTATATTATGCTATTTTTGATGAAGAGTTTCACATTTTTGATGTTTTTGAACGCTTTTTTTAAAGTTGAACTTGCAATAGAGGAACTTTGCATATTTGAAATAATTTTATCTTTCTCTCTTGGATCTTTTACTCGCTGCAATGCTGGTTGTTTATTTCCTACTTTTTCAATAAGCATTTGAGTTTCTGCTTTTGTCTATCTATTTGTTGATTTATTTAACGTATTATGATTAATGGGAGATGTTTTATGATCTAATGTGTCAGAAACAGTGGAAGATATTTTATCTAAAGTATCAGAAGCAATTGGAGACGTGATGGAAGTAGATTCTAAAGTAATAGGCAATGAATTTTTTTGACTATGATTTGTATAAACAGGAGATCTTAAAAGAGATACTTAAAAAATCACTAGTTAAATTTTATTCTTAAATAATTTCAGAGGTAATAATATAAAATATTTTAATACTTCTTCATGTTCGGTATTTGCTTTATTTAAGGTTAGAGGGTTCATAAAAGAATTGCGTAGTTGTTGTTGCTGCAAGAACATTTGCAAATTAGTAAAATCTGTAAAAGGAGAAATAAGAGCAACTAGAGTTGCTTGTGCAGTTGGCATTTGTTGAGTAACTACTTTCTTTTTTTTATTATTACTTTTTGAAGACATGATAATTCAATAATGTTGAAATGATAGAGGAATGAAGAGAAATAGCTCAAGGATCGTTTGAAATCATTATTTAAATGATCGTAATGCTCGTGCAACATCTCAATCAATCACCAATCACATGCTTAATAACGTCCTTACTATGGTTCTGGCTTCGATATATATTTCATATGATTGATTAAAGTCTAATGAATAAATTTTACAAAGCATAATAATATGATATTAAAAAGATAAAGCAGGCGAAAACTTTATTCTTTCTCGTTATAAAATTAAATCAATGCAATAATAATTTTAACAGATCTTTACAAATTAAATTGTTAGCTGGAAAGCTTTAATACTCTACTTTTTAATTCCCATAAACCCATTAATTGCTCCAGCTGGAAACCACCAGTAAAGATGCCTCCCTAATTATTATTAGAAAATTTGAGTTTCGAGATATTTGAGATTAAACTATTTGTTTATAATAAATATCTTTACCTAAACTTCTAATAGGTTTTCCTAAACTCAATTAAGTTTAATCAAGTTTTAGATTTTTAAAAAAAAAGTCATTTAAAAAGTTTCTAAATGTTAAAGTTACACGTTAAACAAGACAAGTTTCGAATAGCATCATTAGCTACAATTAGATACCAGGATAACCATTAAAAAGTTCAACGGCAAGTGATAATTCAGAATACCAGGAGTATTGCAAGAAATTACTGAGAACCCAAAGCTAGAACAACAACAGTAATCCTTTTGTATTATAATGGAGAAGTGCAGTGCCAAACGATATGACGATATCTGGCAGCGTATTATTTTGATTTGTACGTAGGTAGCGCAATGCAAGCATTGCCATTGTATCATCCTGATGCTAAGAAGATATTTTGATCGCAATATAAATTTGAATGGTCGTTCGTGAAGAAAATAACCTTTTACAGTCAAATGCTGCAGTCATGAATTTGGACAGTATAAATATTCATAAATATTTTAAAATAAAAACTGAAAAAAAATTTTCTAATTGGATAAAAATACAATTTTTTTTAGGCGTGTTCAAATAAATATTCTTAGAATTAAGAATACTTTTTTTTTCGTTTTACTATGCAAGTAATTAATAGTTACGAGGCAAGAAGTACCGAGTAATTGTTTTATTTGGAAAAATCTGCTTATTGAAGTAAATAATGATGGTTTTGCAATTTGAATAAAAGTTTCTCAATTGTAGTTCATTGGGCACCAATCGTTCTTAACAAATTTCAAATAAGATAAAAGATATAAAAGATGAAAACTTTAAATTATAAAGTATCGCGTAATAGACCTGATGTATACGTCAAGAACTTTTTTATTTATTTCATCGACAATTGTTTACTTTCCGCAGCAACCGTATTTTCTTTAATAGCGTGCTCTCTGAATTAATTGATTCAACCATTCGCTGAGAAATTATATGATTAAAGTATAAGTCACCCTTATATGCATAATGATCGTTGACATATTGTTTTATTTTACATGAATAAAGCAAAGTTTTATATAAATAAACAAATGGTAGTCACGAAATATTCTTCAAGCAACGATACTGCAAGTTTGTTAGACATAATATTATAGGACACACTAATCACAATCTTCAACGTAGTAATTACGAATGCGGATTTCAATTTTTATGTTGCTAGAATACTAACATTACATGTGACTTTTTCATTTTATAAATAATATAAATACTGCAACTGTAATAATAATAATAATTTTTCATACAATTTAAGGAAAAATGATTTTGTTTATGCATGTGAATGTGACACGATCGACACACGAAGGCGCCAAAAATTCTTCCCCTTTTGCCCCCTTCTAAATTTAATAAAAAAAAAAAATCCTTAATAATAATTTCTCCTGAGATGTTTCATAACCTTTTTTTAAAGGATTTTTTAACATCCGATCTAAAATTCAAATAGGGGTACGGAATATCATTTATAACCTGAAACCAGGTGATGAAAGGAATGGGGGAGAAAGGAATATTGTAATGTAATGATGTCGAAAAGCGAGGAGATTTTTTTTGGTTTCAATAATCGTCAAATTTATCAAAGGATGGAAGTATCGCTACCGAATATTCTGTATCCGTGTACGACATTCGTTTATTGGTAATATCAAATCAAATCAAATAACTACATGTACATTACCGGGTTAAAAGAACCAAGAAGACGATTTGATAATTGGTTTGATTAACTAATTATGTTGCATGATCAACAATTTAATTATTAATTTGAGAATTTTATTTTTTTTAAATGATTTTGACAGAATTTGGAAAATAAAGCTTCGGCAACGATTTAAGGAACGGTTGTTCAATAAAACTGTAAAGTTTATATAATGAAAATTTAAAAAGACAAAACTGGTCTGCGCTTACGACCTTCGTCAGAGGTCATTAATATGTGTGAATCGAGAATTGAGGAAAGAGCCAGTATCTTTTCTCAATGATTCCTTGATACAGTATAATAATGTTGGTCCCTTTAGTTTATTCAGGATTTGGGTTTGCAGTGTCACAATCATTATCAGGGATGAATGTTCACATGAAACTATAAAATATATATAAATAAAATATCAAAATTGAAACCTTTCTATAAATTAGATTGTTTCACAAGTTGATATTTTTACTTTTAATTAATTTGAAGGATAAATAATTGTAGCGATGGTAATACGGATTATAAAAGAATTAACAATTGAACTTTTGCTGGCGAATTACTGCGCCTCAATATTAGGGTTTCATTAATGTCTGGTTAATTATTATTCATTCATTCATTCATTCTGTATGCAATGAAAATCAAAAATCGAAATAACTTATACCTCCTCCGAATGTTCCGATCTGCAATGCAATCAATTCTTTTTCGAAAAAGAAAGATAAAGAAAGAAATTATTGTGTATGATGCATAACAGATTATGTGCTTCTAAAAAAAAAAAGAAAACAAAAACCGAGAAAGTTTCCACATGGCAAAATAAATAAATATAAAATATATATAAATAATCCTACTAGTTTTTTTAATTAAAAAAAAAAAGAATGATTTCTTTTAAAAAAATAATTTAATTTCGAAGCAGATTTTGGAACATGAGAGAAAAGTTATAATATTTTTTTTGCTTGTGATAAAAATTTATTTATTTATTTATTTATAATATATATAATATATAAATATATATATTTATATAAAAAATAATTACTGTTAAACAAATTATCAACCCATATTAACCCATTTTTAAATGTGTCACGACTGATAGTTTTTAATGGTTTAATTTAAGTTGAGCTTCCCAATTATTGTCAGTACATTAAAAAAGAGAATAGTACTGGGATAAAAAATTATTTAACTAAAAAAAAATAAAAAAATAAAAAAATAAAAAAAAACTTTCTTTGAAAAAGTAGTGTTTTGAACACGCAAATTCTTTTTTCCCTTTTTTTTTTTTTTTGAAAAACAATAAAAAACAATATAATAATAATAAAAAAAAAACAGGAATGGAAATTCAACCGCAAGTACATCAGCAGTCTTCGACTCATATGATGAAGACGACAAGGTCCGGAAGACCTTTTGTCAAGGTTCGTATTTTTATTTGTTTTTAAAGAAGTTTCGGTGCCATGGATCTTGCGAATTTATAGTAAGGACGTCAAGATCTGAATTAATAGCGTAAAGTAGTTCGCATTACGTGTATATATATGTGTAGTAAAAAAAAAAAGTGCTAGTTATTTATTTATTTTATTTATTTGTTATAAATACGGCATCAACGCTATATTAGGATATCCATGATTTGTTCGCAACGCTGGTCGTTTCATTACCGATGGAAGCACATCGAATTTTATTTCGAAGTCATCCCAATTCATTTACAACCGAAGAAGCGATCGCTAATCTCGGTTCTTTGAAATTTACCCAATCACATCGCACACCAGATCTAAAAGATCCAACTAAAATAATAACGACCACGACCACTACTACATTTAGCATGACAAAAGATATGGCGAAAAGCGTTTGTCAAACTTTTATGGATGCTAGATTATTTGAAAATCTTGGCGATTCAGGAAGTCGTTCTTTCAAGGATAAGAGTGTTTATGGTTTAACATTGAAGGGTTTGCATGTGCTTGATAAATTTGTTGATAGGAATGGGATCGCGGCTCCACATTTGGCAAAATTATTTGCATCACAAGCCTCTCCTATTAATTTGTATTATATTGAAAGAAGCCTTGAGAATGATTCCATATTGTTTTCTAGAGGTTGTATTGAATCATTATTCCGGAGGTTCACTGGTGCAAAACCAAACATCATGAACAAAGATGAGGAAAAAGGGATTACTTCGGATCATTCATTTGTTGAGAAACTTGATCGAAATCTTGGAATTGAACTCAAAGATCGACAAGGCCGTTATTATTTTCATGGTTCATCTGCTTGTGACTGGCTTTGCGATTTCACGACTTTGATCACAAAGGAAGAATCCATGAGAATTGCAAATGAATTTATTCGATTTGGATTGATTGAACCTTTGTCCGATAAAAGCATTGAAGCAAAAAAACCTTCCAACAAAAATGGAAGGACATTTAGATATTCAAAGTCAACTTGCTATCAAATCACGGAATCAGGGCAAAGAATCATTTCATGGAATTACGATGGTTATATTCCATCCTACACAAATAAATCAAAAGATAGATTGAGCAATCACAGTGTTAAGAATTTAAAGAATATCAACGTTTCACAAAATGAATTGCCAAATAACGGTAAACGATCATCAGAGATTACCGCACAAAGCCCTACGATTAAAGATATAAATAATCATTATTCTAGCAAAGAATCTAACGCAAAGAAACTCCAACAGATTTTGGAAGATCCATCATTACGTTCTCTCTTTATGGAATTCTTAAAAGCAAATTTCTGTGAGGAGAATTTATTGTTCTTGTTGGAGGTTCAAACATTTAAATCTAAATACAATACGAAATTTAATGAAAGCGCCAAGATGCGAAATCACCAAGAACAACAGAATCTCATCGATGATGCTTTCAGAATTTATCATAAATTTTTAGCACCAGGGTCACCTCATGAACTCAACATTGATCACGGATTGAGACAAAATATGGTGAAATATATGACTAATATCATATCTCCAGATGATTCTGCAGCAAATCCTATAACAGACCTTTTATATGATAAAATTCAAGACACAATATTTAGACTTATGGCCACCGATTCCGTTCCTAAATTTTCAAAGACTGACAAATATTTATCTCAAATACGGAAATTTGATGAACAATCGACAGAGGAAAATATCCAAAAGCGCAAACACACTTCTTCTAGTTCAACTTCGAGTTTCAGAATTTAGAAAATGTTTTTTTCTCTATTTATTATTATTTAATTTAATGTAATTATTTATATAAAAAAAAACTGTTTAATTATTATCCAAGTATTTGATAGTAATGACGATCTTACATAATTAATGCACGTTATAAAACGGGTTAGATTAAATGAATTTTGAAAACGTTACACAAGATTATCATTGTTTCTATTACAAACCTTAACCTTATTCCGAATTATTAGAATCCCTGAATTACGAAATTAAAATTTTTAATTGAAAATCAACAATTCACGTCCTCTTTTATACTTTTATACGTTCTGGGATTTATTCATATTACATCTGATTTCTATCGAAAGTTCTTCTGTGATGCCAAATAAATCGAACAGTGAGATGTATTCTCATTTGTTCAACCACATGTTTATATGCGGTGCAACATGAAAAAAAAGTGGTACCTTTTTTACCTGTACGTTCAAATTTAACTTTGCTATCGTCCGTCATTTTTTTACTCTTTTTTCTATTGTCCTGTCGCTTTTGAGTTGACTAGCACTTGGTGAGTGACGTCGCGTTAAGCAAGTTTTTTTAATATATACTTCTTATTTTACCACTTGAGGCTGTATGCTGCTGGTGTCACAACTTTTCGTTCTTTTGGAACATTTCTATTACCATGGTTAACAAAGCTTCCACTACCACTTCTTTTCTATATAATAAAAGGTCTTAACCTTTATCTTTCATCACCCCTGCCGCCTGCTGTTATAAAGGTTAGTTATATTGATCTATTTATTTTGTAGTTTTAGTTTGTCTATTTTCTCTTCCAAGTTTGTTTCCTAAATTCTCTAACTTCCCTCATCTCAAAAGTTGATAGATCACAAATTATTGCTATACTTACATATTAATTTGCGAGCAAGCACTATAAGATTAATAATATTGCAAGTGAGTCCAAATTGATTTTGATGAAATTTTTTTTTTCAAGATCGTTATTATATAGAAAGAAATACTAATGGTCAGAATTTTTAACTTTCTCACCCAAAAGCTTATCCAACTATTTTAGGTCATTCTGGTTAAAAAACGTAGGCTTCCCTTTTTACATTTTTTTGAACTTTTTACCATTTTGGTACAAGTTTCTTATTCATTATTCTAAAAAAATAACGAAATTCCGAGTATACGCATTGAGCTATTCCTAATTAGTTTAATAATGTCATCACGTGGAGATTCCGGATATATGAGTCAATACGATTCTATTTACAGTCAAAAATCAGAGGTTGATAGTTTTGATCATTTGAATGATGTTGAGTATGTGGATTATCCTACCGTGAGAAGTTCAATGCCTTCTCCTTATAATGATCGAAGAGACGAACATATAGAGAAAAATGGAACCAATCGCCACACATATCACACATCAAATCATAATAGTTCCTTTGGTAACGATTCTTTATACCCGCCGTTACCAAATCAAAGATATCAATATTCTACTTCACCGAATTCTAATTCCTATGAATACAATAGAAATGAATTTTCATCTTTCGAGTCAAATAGAGATGATCCACCACTACCCCCTTCACCTTATAAACCTCCATTATCTCCAAGACCTCATCTGATTCACTATTCAACTTCGCCTTTGATTTCTCCAAGGTTACCTCCACAACAATCATATACTTCACAGGGAAACCCTCCAGAATTATATATACCCAAACCATCACCAAGGAGTGCTTCATTACAAAACATAAGTCGTTCTGAATCAAGTCCTCGACTAAACACATCGTTTCCGGTTAATATGGTTAAGAATAATGCAAACATTCGTCCTTATCCATACGTTGACACTCCGAAAACCCTAAACTTCAATAATAATAATAATTTTTATCAACAAGAAAAACCTGAACAAGTTTTAGATGCGTTTGATTTTTCCGAAACACAGGACATAATCGATTCCTATTATGATGATCATGAAGTTAATGAACAAGAAAGTAAATATTTAATGAATAATATTAGCTGTTTAAAGAAGGTTGCCGAATTATGTTGGACTTAATATTTTATCACATAATAATCAATTTTTTATTTATAATCAGTAACAAGAAATCGAAAACGTGAAGCTGCTGTAAAGGAAGTACTTACCACAGAACGAACGTATGTTGATGGTTTAAGGAAACTTGTGAATGTATTTTTATCTCCCCTGCGAGAAAATTATCAAAGATCTATTAATAAGATCTTATCAACAAAACCTGTCGCAACTAATGATGAAATTTCGGCTATATTTGGAAATATTGAGCAGCTATTGACATTACATGAGCAACTATTGAAGTCGTTAGAAGAAAGGTAAACATAGTTTTTAATTTTTCCTTTTTCTTTTTTTTTTTTTTTAAAAAAAAAGCACGTTATTCTTTTACGCCAGAATCACGAATTCTGAAGTAGACATTTTGGAGCTCTGACAGCTTGTAATATTAAATTTTTTTTATTTAACGAACAAATCTTGTTTCCTTGTATTAGGAATCGAAATTGGAGCCCTACACAACGTATTAGCGACATATTTCTACAAACTGTATGTGTTGCTATTAATTTCAAATCAAAAAAAAAATCCTTTAAATTTATTAAAATCGTTAAAATCGTTGTAATTATAGGCTCCATACCTTAAAATGTACATAATTTATTTAAAAAGCTTTCCACAAGCAATAACGACCATGGAACGACTTAATAAAGAGAGCAAGGATTTTAAAAAATTTTTGCAGGTAAAAGAGACACCTACATACTTACTTTCACGTTCACTTATAATCATGTGGTGATCATTATTTAACCTCTTGGCATTTCATCATTATCTAGCAATGTCAGCAAAAGCCAGAGTTAGGAGGATTACCGTTCAACTCTTTTCTGAGTCTTCCTATTCAAAGAATTCCACGTTATAAATTATTGACGGAAGCTTTATTAAAACATACAAAAGAGTCACATCCCGATTATCAAAACTTAAAGAAATGTGTGGCTCAAATTTCAGCGATTGCTGAAGAAGTGAACGAAAAGTACGTCGTATTTTACATTTAATTCATTAAATTCAAAAAAATTTTCTTACCATTAAATTATATCTATATCTACTTCTATTAGAATACGAGACGCTGAGAATCAGCAGAAAGTACTAGAAATTCAAGCAACGGTTACAAATTTGCCGAAAAACATAGTAGATCCTGCACGAAGGTTCATTTATAACGGAAATCTTTACAAAGTTACACCAAGACAGACAAATAATAAACCTTTCTTTACGGCAACACAGGATTTACGAGCACACTTTCTTTTTAATGACCTTTTGCTTTTCTGTTTAGATTTTCAAGGAATATACCATTACAAAGGTGAAATTGATCTGAGATTTGCGACAGTTAAAGAGATTGACGATGATTCTGCAGATCAACCTTTTTGCTTTCAAATACTTACTACTGATGTAAGGAATGGAGCACATACCGTTCGTGCAACAAGCTTCGAAGAAAAAAATGAATGGATCACCAGACTTAAAGGAGCAATATGGTCACTACAAAATGGAAGAGTGTCGTCTAATTCTGATGGAAAACGTAAGTGTTTCTTTTTAAATCAAAAGAGAGGAGGGGTTATATTGTGTTTGAGAATGTAATATAATTATTATTATTTTTTTTTTTTTAGTCCTTATTCCTATTCGTCAATAAATTATCTTAATTTACATTCAATTAATTTATATCTTTTGTAATTTACGAGATTTTCATTAAATAACAATATTTATCATTAGTTTGTAACATAATTTTTTAGTATTAAGATTATATTTATAGAGAAAATTAGATTTATATATCAAAGAAATATTCTTTTAAATGATGGTTTTTTTTTAATATATATTTTATATAATAACTGAGCGAGAGATGCATTAAATGAATGATTTTATAGGAATTTGTTTATAACTGAATATAAACTGATCAAATAAATAATTAATTCCATTAATTTGAAATGTATTTTAATTAAAATTTTGGTTTTCCAAAATAAAGTTCTCTATATATGAATGAGGTAATATAGAATCAACCAATAAAAGGTCAAGTAATTCATGAGCACAAACACTAAAGTTAACACGTATTAAAAAAAATTAACTGGCAGAAAAGATCGGCATGATAATTACCCCCTTTAATAGTATATATAATAATAATATTCACCCTTTTGAAATCACTAATCAATCGTTCATTTTACAAGGAAATAAACAAATAAATACCATAAAAAATGGTTTATTTTCCTGAACTTTGCCTTGAACAAATCTTTCGAGAATTAGATAATGACGTTGAAACACTCTATTCTTGCATACTTGTTAATCGTTTGTGGTTTACTCTGGCCGTTCCTGAACTATGGAAAAATCCTTTCGTTACTATGTCATCTGGCAATCCAAAACACCAAGGATCACTCATCGATGTTTACATTGCTTGTCTTCCAAAAAAAGTTAGAGAGAATATTTATTCTGGGACGACAAGATCACCAATATTTAATTACGCTAAATACTTACGATGTATTATTATCGGAACAATGTGTAAATGTGTTAGCAAATGGATTATATCAAAGAAAGATGAACTACTCTCATTATACTATGTACACGTGACTGGGATTGCGAATAACGAGACGGTTATCGTTAAAACTTTATGTGATTATTTCATCTCCTGTTCGACTCGTATTGATGAAGTTGATTTATCGTATCGCCCTATCAATTTATTCTTAAATCCAAATTTGTCAAGGATAAAGACATTTAGATGTAGTGTGATGTTTTTGCCCGACTTGTTGGAAGCTGGTATCGTTAAATCGGCTTCCAAGATCGCGAATGATATTCAATTCCTGGAAATTCGATTCATTTGTTCATATAATTTTTCCTCGGGTACGATGAATACCCCGGTTAATGACATAATAGATTTGATTGAATCACAAAATAACTTACAACACGTATTGCTTCAATGCACTCCATTCGAATTCCTCACACTTATGGTTAGTATATGTACCCACACAAAAACTTTGACAAGTATTGATTTATTTAAGATCGCTTTTGGTTGTGGTCTTCCACTTCAATATTTAGCAAAATTGGAGAATTTACAACATCTCTCGTTTATATGTTGCAATTTTTCTGGAACATCCGATTTAAATGTTGATGATTTATCATTTCAAAGGTTAAAGTCTATAACTATCAAAGTGACAAACATTCAAGTGGATATATTGGAAACTTTGATACGTCAAGCCAGAGATAGCATACGCGTATTGGAAATTAGGAATTTTAGAAATCTACGAGAATTAATTTATTCATGTAGAAATAATTGCACCCTATTAACGAAATTGATCGTATCAATTAATCAAGGGACCCTTTTATCAATTATTTCCATGATAACCACGTGCAGAAATTTGGAGGAAATTCATATTTTTGATGAAACCATGCAAGAAGGTTTTTATATGCCAATTGATATAAAATGTACGCTTACGGCTGATGAATTTATTTGTCAACTTGGAATGGCATTACCGGAAAAGGTTCATACGATAAGATTTATTATGGATTGGTTTTATAAATCAAGTTCACTTGATACATTTTTTAATCAATGTAATGCGAGAAGGTTGAAAAGGTTGGAATTTAGTAATTGCTCCTTTTTCTCTAGTAGACATTTAGATGTTGTAGTTCGTCATTGTGGCAAGACATTAAGATATCTATCTTTTAATAGTTATCATCGCATGTCTAGGGAATATGTGAAGAAAGTGAGCAAAATAATTCCGAATCTTGTTGTTGAAAATGACGAATTCAACAGGGCATGTTAAAAAAAATTGTTATATTGAGACAGTTTCTTTGATTTTCGTTACATAGATATTTTAGGAATAACAAAAAGAATTTGGGTAAAATAAAATAATAAATAATATTCTAAATGACGTGACGGTGACGTAAAACCAATGATAGTTCGTTAATGTAAAGTCAACTATATTCAATTACTACATGTAAAACAATCGATGAGTGTGTTCATCTGGTGAACAATTACACAAACTGTCCTATCAAGAAAAAAATACCCCGGGCACCATTAAAATCCCTACTTCAAATTTACTAAACACTTTACTTCCACTTAATAAATCCACTACATAAAGCAAGTATTAATAATAAAAAAAAACGGAAAAATAGAAGAAGAAAGTATATAAACTTATATAATTAAATATTCTTTTAATGATTGCAATTTGCTACTCTGATATATGAAAAAAAAACAATTTTATTCTACAACTTTGCATTAGAGATGGTATAATAATGACATCATACTGAAAAATAAGAATCATCCAAGAAAGGCGAACGTTTGTTTCATAATGGTGCATACGCAAAGTTGATGCCACTTCTGATGTTGATATCATTTAGTGGAGGAGGAACGTTCAAGGTCTGCCTTCTGCTTTGCATTTGCGTAGTTGTAACTTTTGGCGTGGTGATAGATGCCACAATATTTCCAAATTTGAGACATCATAAATCACACATGTTGAAATTTTACCAGTATACTGTACATTTTATGTTTCAGAGTAGAAAAAAAAAGTATTTTTGCAGAATGTTAATTTTAAAGTGATTAAGCATGGTGTAACATAAAGTAACACATACCTAAAAGATAATCTACCCATATATATTTTCAAATTTTTCATTTCCCACATTTTAATTTTACCCTCCCTCATTCTCATTCTTTTACATAAATTATGGCCGCAGCTTCTTTACCTGAACTTTGCCTTGAAAGAATATTTGAATATTTGAGATGTGATTTAAACTCCCAATACTCGTGTATTCTTATTAATAAATATTGGTGTTCGTCTCTTATAGCAAAGCTCTGGGAAAATCCTTTTGAAATGATAAAAACAAAGAATAAAACCCGTTCCAACCTTTACCTTATCAACACATATTTGATTTATCTTCCTAAAGATATTCAGAATTCTATTGGACTTCAAGAGATATCTAAACAGCCACTGTTTAATTACGCAAGTTTCTTACGTTATCTTTCTATTCAGAATATTAAATACAGTATTAAGAAATGGGCAAGATTCAAGGATGTTAATGAAACACCAAAATTCAAAACATTCTTATTCAACAAAGAAAATAATGAAATTCCGGGTGAAACTATAGGTTATATAGCAGAGGTTTTTATTGAACATTTGTTTACAAGTTCAACTTATATCAAAGGCGTTGATCAATTGTGTCCCATACCGTGTGTATTTGGATTACCAAATGCCGAATCAAAATTATCTCAAATACAAATTTTTAAATGTGATGATGATAAAATGATTAGACTTGCGAGTAAAATTTCAAGAGATATTCAACAATTAGAAATTCGACTAAAGGCAAAAGAGACTTATGATCTAGAACATAAATCTTATTTACCTTTGAAAGACATCGCGATGTTGATTCGAGCACAGAGAAATTTACGAAAGATTTTAATTCAATACAATCCAACAATTTATTCTAAAGATGAAAATGTTTGTTTATGGGATAATTTAATGAAACATACAAAAAGTTTAGTTGACATTATATTTGTAGGCGTTAGCTTTGACTTTAAATTTCCCTTAGGATGCCTCTCAAAATTCCATAATCTGAGGAGGTTGACTTTAGTCGATTGTGAAATTGATAATGCATACCCATTGGATTATATTCCACCTTCAGAAGACGACCATCAGGATAATATTCCATTGCTGATAAGAGATATGCGATCGTTTCATCAAGTTGAATTTTTATCGATTAGAACATCAAAAATTAATATTAATAAATTAGAAATTTTATTTCGACAAGCCGCCTTTTCACTTCGATGGTTAGAATTACTGGATTTGGATCATTTAACAAATTTGGAATCCATTACACAATGTTTTTCAAATATTACTCGACTAACGGTTGGAATTAGCGAGAGATGGAAGATAGTCATTTCTATAGTAAAATCGGCAAACCTGTTACAAGAACTTTACGTTCTCGACGAAAGAAATGAAAATTTTAGAAACAACTTTTCCGAAAGGTACGCGTGTAAACCTATGACAGCTGATAGTTTTTTGTGTGAAGTTGGAAAAGCAATGGGAAAACAAGTTTACATGTTTAGATTCACCTTAGATTGGTATTTTTGTCCAAATTCTTTGAACACATTTTTGAAAAGATGCAATGTTAAACGATTAAAAATATTAGATTTTAGAAAATTCAAATTTTTTAGTAATGAACATTTAAATCAAGTGATTGCGTTTTGTGGTGGAACTTTGAGTTATTTATATTGTGAGCATCATCATACTATTACACAGGCGGATTTATCAAGGGCAAAACAAGTCATTAGGAACTTTTATTGTTGAAAAATCACGGAATTAATTTTTTTTTTCCTTTTGATAATATCTACAGTACTTGGAGATTATATGAATAAATAAATCTTAAAAAGTTACGCGTAATTATCGAAATAAAAGAATTTGATGTGAAAAAAAAAAATTACGTGTCGTTCACGTCATTAGTTTAACTTTATTTGGTTTTGTTAAAAATGAACGTGTTAAATGATCTTTCTAGATTAGTGCTCGGTGAATAGGAGGTATAAAATGATTGTCACGAAACGTAATCATCACCTCCTCTCTCTCGACTCTATTAATAATATTCTTTTACGAAAGAAAAAAAAAAAAAATAGTAAAAAGAAAATGTTACCCTCTTTAACTACGTATTCTACTTTTCCCTTTAAATCAAATGATGACCCATTAATTTTTACTTTATATTCAACCACTTCGGGTGATATGAACTCTGATAATTTTGACAATTTTTCTAAAATGTTTACTCAACAAACAAACAACTTTATAAAAAAGGTGAAAACTTATGGTGAATTTAGTGAGATTATAGAAGGTATGTTTGACTGGAATATTATGGGAACATGTAGTGATGGAGTTCAAGTATATTACGTTGATGATTGTGAATATGAAAATGTGATGAAAGTGGAAGTGAAAAGAGAAGAATATCACGTGAGAAAGGATGAAATCGTGTTGAACGAGGAGATCATTGTGGAAGAAGAGGAAGTTATAGAAATATCTGGTGTTAGCTTTCAAGAAGGATGTTATGATCTTGGAATGAAATTTATTGAAGTTGATTATGGCGTATCTGAAGGTAATGCCGCGAAAAGTATCAAATGTTTTCTTAACCTATAAACAACCGTTTTAGTTGCGACATGTCCATTTCAGAAAATGCGCAGAATCAACGCGAAAACTTTTCAAGTGATGGTCATGAAAAACTTGTGAAAGAAACTTGGAAATTGGACTCACGAAAAGATAGAGAACACAAACAATTGAAAAGTCAAATTCAAGAGTTGAACGATCAACTCGGCATGCAAGGCGTAGATAAAAGCATATTAATTAATTAATTTAATTAATTTATCTTTTTTTGTTTTTTTTTAAAAAAAAAAATTTTCTAGTGAAAAAGTATTATTATTTTTGTTAGAAGGATGGATTATTGGTTTAAGTAGTTAATTAGTATTAATGTATGTTCAATTTTTTTTGGAATGATTTTGTATAAATTTATAAAATTTTCTTGTTATTTTAAATCTTAATTGGTTGATGATTCTTTTTTTTTTGTTCGTGTCATCGTTTTCCATCATTTTGAATTCCTTTTAAATTTTGAAAGGCATAAAAATTGGTCCATTTTTAACTTCGAATAAAAGGAATTGAGAAATTTATATCTCGTGTTAGGTTTTGCAATCAGCCACAATTTTTTTTTTTGGCAGTTTTTTTTCCTGGTGTCACCAACATTTCAGCAGTGGCGCAGCAAATTCAACGTAAAGAAAATACAAAAGAAATTTTTATGTATCTTTAATTTTTCCAACAATAACGAAAATACGTACTAGATAAAATAAATAAAAGTCTTGCGTTATAATATACAACTATCATATGGAAGGTTTGCTAGGAAAATGGAGTTCTGAGAATTTTTAATAAAATTTTAATTTTTATTGTATTGATGATATTAGATTAAAATGAAATAAGAATGAAATTTTTTAGTCAAAAATAATTCTCAGAATCCCATTTTCGTAGTAAACCTCCCATATACGTCATGATAAATAAGATTACACATTTAACATTTACTACGCCCAAGGTTCTTATTTGGGTAGTGTCAATTGATCGAATAATGAATAAACTATAGTTGCATAAAATGATGACAAATCCTTTTGCGGGTGCAAGGGAATTTACAAGTGCAAAGTAATTTAATCACAATAAAACAAAATTTATTTTAAGGAAAAAAACTATCATATCTCCCCAAATCCGGTTAATTACTGTACCCTTACTTGCTTCATCATTTCTGATTATTATGTTCCCAAATTAAACGCGATTATAAAAGTAAGGAAACATGATTCCGAATCTGGCAAAAATTGGGCTAAAAGGGTGAAAAAAAAAAATTAATATATCTATTTTTTTAACTCGTTTTTACTACTTTTATCTTTTTTTTTTTTTATATTGTCAATTAATTTATTGATAAAGAATTCAACAATATCACATTTATTTTACCATTGTAAAATAGAAACACGTATTGGAATCAAAAAAGGGAGTTGCTTCAATCACTAAATCAAACAGACAAATCATTATTATTATTACACTTTCTATATTGATTGGTACTTTTTATATTTCCGGAAGCCTGGCTTTACCGGATTATTTATTTTTATTATATATCGTAGTAATACAAAAATTTTCTTAATTAAACAAGTAACCGTTCCGATCAAAATGTAACCTTATAATATATTCTTAAAAATCTTAAAGTTTGTATAAAAAAAATTTTTTCCCTTACGTAAACTTAATTGTTGGTCTATATTGAAGGATTAATTCCTTTGAAAAGCTTTCTTACATTTGCATAGCGATCGAAAGACACGACATGTATTATCAAATAGGTTTCAAATATTATAATTTGTTAGTTCTGAGTTCATAAAAAAAAAAAATGGTTATTTTTTATACATAATGAATTACAAAATTTTTTATTTTTGTAGAATACACCACAAAAAAAAATGGATAATTTTAAGTGGATAAAACGAATTATAAAAAATAAATAAATAAATATATATATATATGATATGATACAATGAAGAAAACGACCTTTTTTTACCAATTACGATTGATTATTGTTCAAGATGACCACTCATGCCTAAAATTAAATTGAAATCTGATTGATGATTATGATCTTCAGAAACGTTATTTACTGTGGGATTCATGAAATAAGATAGTTGTTCAGGTGGATTCAAATGGTTGAAAAGTGGAAGAGGATTTTCGTTCTGTGGAGATTGTTCACGTTTACGCGATAAAGATTGTTGAGGAGTTGTTTGCTGGGAGGTTTGCTGATTTATAAATAAACCATTGTTACGACCGTCAATATTCCAATGTTCATAGGATAAATGCAGCATGTCCTGATGTTGATATTGTGGAATCGTGGGCGTATATTGGTTTTCGGGACGTCGATTTTCAAATAAATTTGGTGTAATGATCGTATTATCAATTGGATCCTCCTTATGAAACACCAGGCTAGTCTTTGATTCAGGTTTAACCGGTCTATGCATAATATGCACGTGATTTAAGTAGGAAGCTTGTGAACATTTACGTTGTTTGTTGGATTCAATCCGTGACGCTTTTCCTTTCTTTTCACGATTTTTCGTAGGACTTCCTGTCTTTTGTTTTTTTAGTTTTGGTTCGGATTCTTGAATTATTTGAATTTGTGACGGTTGTGTTAGTTTTGAGGTTTCTTGGTCCTGCTGATTTGAAGGATTTTGGTCCGAATGACTTAATGAAATTGGATCGTCGTCAATGTACTTAACATTATCCACCAAAGGAGTGAAGAATTTATCTAACTGATTTGTGGAAGGATGTTGAAAGTTGCCCTGATTATTATCATATTGAACTGCGTTATAATTGATTTGTAAATAATCGGGTGGCAAAACATCAGAACTTCCAGGTTGTGTGACCGAAAACGGTTGTTCGGGAATGTCATGTGGAAAAATGGATGGTTGGATGGCAAGTGAGGAAGTGCAAGGAGGGGTCATGCTTTGAACATCTGCTCGAACATTATCAACAATCTGACGGATGTGTTCCCAGAAATGTTGTTGGACAGATTCTTCTCGATTTTGTATAAGGATTGTCAAAACCAATAAAAGTACTTGTAAATTTTCAACGCCAAATCGATTGTCATTAGGATTATCATTCATTTCATTCCATAACCTTCTCAATAATAAAAATTGTTCTATTGTGGTCAAAGGATGTACAAACAATTGAAAAAGATGATCTTTTAACATATTACTAACTTGGTTAAGATTTGATAAATTGGCAAAGAATCTTGTCAAATTAACCAAGGTATTTTCTATGTATTCACCACGCGATTGATTATCAATTAAATCAGTATTTATTCTTGGACGTCTCCTTCCAGGTTCTGGATAAGTACACTTTTCATTATGATCAAGGCAATAAGTACAAGATGATAATATTGCATAATTTCCATCACACTTTTTCTTATCACGTTTACATTTATTACATGCATTTTGAGAAATTTTTCCTCGTTTCTTCTTTGATGGTTGAGAAGGAATTGAAAAGTTGGATTGATCTTCACAAGACTCATCAGAATCTCCTCCATTTAAAGTTGTTTGTTGTGGTGCACATATTAAACTTTCCATGGTTGATTCCATTTTTTTTTTTATTTTATATTTTTTTTAATTTTTTTATTTTTTTTAGGAAATTCGTATATCGTATTTTTTAACCGGAGGATAACTTAAAAGGCTAGATTCTACACGAAATTGGCGAGAAAATATTCACTTTTCGATTCCTTATTTTTATATTTTTTTTTCTTCTTTTTTTTTTTCTTTAAGAAATTTAATTTTTAAAAAAAATGTCGTTCTCATGAAAATCCTTAGGTATATTATTTATATGAGTGAAGAAGTAGGACTTCTGAAAAAAAAAAAAGGTAAATTCCTTATCAGGTTCCTTTATAAGCTTTTTTTTTCTTTTTTTTTTTCTTTTTTGATCTGACCCTTCGGAGGTTTTACGTAACGTGGAGATGTACAGAAAATTACTTTTTTGGCTGAAAGTGGTTGTTCAGTTTGATTAAACAATATAATTTTTTATATTAGAAAAAAATTTAAGACTCCGTAATATAAAAAAAAATTAGATACTGTAAAATGTACAATATAGATTGTCACATATCACAAACCTTACATTAACTCACCTATTTTCGGAATTAAATTTTTTTATTGTAATGAGATTTGATTTGGTGGAAAAGAATAATTTGAGTCTGGAAATTGCTATTTAAAGATCTCCTATAAGAACACCAAAATCCCAAAAAGTAAACGGATCGTTATTTTTGGTATGATCGGTAATCTTTTTTTATCTTGCCATGTAAAAAATATTAAACCAAAAATATTTAACAAATGATTTTAGCATAGGAATTCACTAACCGATAGATACATCAGTTTTTTTTTTATCACATTTTTCTCACTTGGTAATAAAAAATTTCTTTGTTTCACGCCAGATCGACTTTTGAATTGAACAAATCAAATTCTATGCATTTGTGTTTCATATTAATAAAATCTTGAATAAAATATTTACAATATAAGGGTTATTCGATTCCTGGTTCTTTTAATTCCTCATGGATTCCATATGATTTTTTTAACAGGTAATTGTATAAAATTGTGGCTTGATTCGAAATTTAATGAATTTTTCGGAACTCTTCCGCAGTCTTACTTACTTGAGCAACATTTTAAAAAATGATTTTCACTAAAACTTTTTCTAGAAGTCTCCTGATAATAGGAATTGAAAATAATGTTTCATTCGTTCTTGAGGAATTCATGTGTTATTCTTTTTTTAAAAAAAAAACGGAACAGGCGAGTAGTTATTTGTATTATTTATTTACGGGCGGAACTATCATTAGTCGATCGGTCTATATTTGGTCAAGTACTGTCCCGTAAATTTAGCAAAGTAGGAGAAGTAGGATCTTCGCCACAAGATTTTCTCCCCCACGTGATTTAGTAAATTTAGTAAATTATTACGATATTTGTCACCCAGTGTCACACCCTCCACTTTTCCATTTTTACTAAGTATTCTGGGATGCGGAATTTTTTTTGGAAGAAATTCATATTTGTCACGACTTATTTGTCACATGGTTAATTTACTAATGCATTCTTTGGTTATTATCGTGACGTAGACAAGTTCTAAAATACAAAATAATTATATTCTTTAAGTTTTTTATAAACATTTTTTTCTCAAGTAAAAAAAAAAAAAAAAGTAAGAACATTTTTGCCAATTTCATAGATACATAAAAAATGAATTTGGATTGGTAACTAACTAGTTATTCCGCGTAGTAATGTATATGGCGCAGCTTAACGATATTTTCTTAAAAGAATTAATTAAGCACCTAACTAGCTTATTGATTAATGCAATGATTATCGGCAAGTTAAATAAACGACTATTCCATATTTATTTATTGCACTATTAAGACTATGCGGAATTTGTGACTTCTGATATTTTTTATTATTTAATTGATATACATACTAGTTCTAATGACTGAAAGATAACAAAGAAAGTAAGAAAGTAAACGTGACTATATAATTATTTCCCGAAATAGTTATTTTTAGATTTATATACATGTGTAAGAAATTAACAAATGCAAAGAAATTTATGAATAAATTATATTTCGCTATTTCGCTATTATTACTTTAAACAACTAAACCGTGCTTGTATTGTACTTGATAATGTATTTATTAAAAAATATTACATTTCGCGTAAAATACGCGTGCATGTTTACAATAGAAATCACCAGATTAAGTTAATATTGTTCTTAAAAAGGAATAATTTAATATTTTTTGTCACGTCTGAAAATAAAAATTTATTTTTATGATGAATACAAGAAAGGTAATCGATTCCTATAAAGAACGCACTTTACGTAATGTTTGGTAATGTTCGCTGAATTATCGATTGATTAATTAATTAAAAAAGCAAAGTGCCTACATTGGTTAGATCAAATTTAGCATTTATTGAGAGTAATGAGAATCGTAAAATCGTGCTTCATGTCTCATTATTCTTCTTAAAACTGATATATAATGAATGATTTATTGACTATTTAAGTTGACAAATATAATTTAGGAATGGGAAACAACATGAAAAAATCTTTTTATTTAAATAATTGAATAGGTGATATCCCCCTCAAAAATCATTACCCGATTACACTGTAATTTTGAAAGTTTGGAATTGAAAAGTAATAAAAGTTTCTACTCAAGAATTTTTGTTCTTTCTGCAGGTAAATAATTATCATACAACATTGATCATTTATATCTTTTACATATCAGGTTTAAAAAAGGAAAAAAGGTAGAATTTTCTACAAATATTATGCATGTATCTATTCCGGAGACAATGTTAGAAGGATAATTCTAGATCTTTTAGGTGCCGATCCCTTCATAAATGATTCTATTTATATAATAGATTGGCAGGATGATTTCTAAAATTAACAAGTAGGCGGCCGTTCAAAAGGCATAACTTTATTTTTAAAGTTTCATACTTGTGGTCCCGAATTATTAACGTTAAGTGTTACCTGAAGGGTTTATCGTTATGTATCTGCAACATTCTTTTAATAGACTATTTCATGCGTTTTCAGTCAAAATTTTAACACGAATCTTAATCGGAATTTCTTACATTTTATCATTTTTAATCTTGATTAAAATTTAATAATTTTCTTATTTTCACTTTACTTTATTTGCACATAATTAACATTTTTTGAAGAGTATGATCATTCCAATTGTTTGAATTGGATAATTTTATGTCCAATTCAAATGTGACGCACTTTTATTAAATTTCCAATTGGAATATGCTTCTGTATTTGCCACAAATCATTTATCACATTATGTGGCGGACGGCACAAGTTTAATTGTGGCTAATTTTACTGTGGGTAAAAAATTTGTTGCATTACGCATAGGTATATATAATATAATATACAGTATATCAATCTCATTTTTTTGTTCTTCCCTAATAATGAGTGATTAATGCGAGATTGACACATGGATGTATGGTGATAAAAAGAAATTTAATGGGAAATGAAAATAATTACATAATTGAAACCTTGTGCATGTATGCACGTTCCTTATTTTATTATGAGAATTAAAGGATCGATTTTCACAATAATCATTTCATAAACGAATTTGAGAAATTCATCAAGAGATTTTAATTGCTAAAACTTATCTGGTAATTTATATCAAGACGCGTGTTTTCATTTACTTTGTTAAATCTTCTAACATGGTCTTAAAAGTTGGGTCGCACGAAAAACTCCAACGCAGGTTATTCAGTAATATCACAACAATTTTTTTTTTTGCTCATGATAATATCACGTAAGATTAATTAATGTATGCCGATGATTAATAATTTGAACACTTTGATTTGTTTTTTTCTGGTGGTCACAAATGCGGATCATAATAATTTCTCGATTTATTTTCGATAAACAATGTTACAATCTCGCATGAAAATGTAGGTAATAGCCGAGCATCGCAATAAATTTTATACACCGGCCATTACTTGAAAAGAATTTTTTACATGAGCGTTTATTCATTTGAGCATCTATCATTCTCATCATGTGAATATCTAAGCCACGAATGTCACCCGAACAAACTCGATTTTGGTTATTTGTTACCATATTTGGACTCGCATTCGCCACATTATTTGAGTGTGGTTCATGCATCCCTTCTTTATTTTTGAAACCCTTAATTAGTTTTTGTAATCCTTAAGGAAGGAAAAGTGATTTTTAGAAATGGTAAGCTTACAAAATTACTCCGATGACTCCGCATTGTGATAATAATAATTTATTTACGTATTTATATAAAAAAAATAAAAGGTAAAAGTTTGTGACGCGAATCTCATTTGACGTTAAATGAGGTAAATCAGTCTTTGGATTTATTCGGAAATTACAATTGTGGTAATCTAGTTGTGATACTCGTCATTCGATAATGAAAAAAAAAAAGATTGAATGACAACTGTTTGTATTGTATATTTAGAGAGATATGTAAAACAAGTGAAATATTATTATTAACACATTGGTCCTCATAACGTTACAGTTTTCTTATATGGGAGAAAATTTAATTTCCTAGAAAAGGTTACATTGTTTCCCATTAAATTTTGCAATTGCGAAATAATTCGATAATTGTAAAAATCCGAATTAGAAATTATTTGCACTACACGAAATCTCATTTATTTATTTATTTAATAAAAATATCATCGCTACTACTACAAAAGTTACTATAAAAAAAAAATAACAGTTAATTTTGCAACTTACGCAAATGTTCTTTATATTCAATACAATGAAATACTTTTAATTTCCAAATCTCAATGTCAAAAATGGTAATGATTGACAAAAATGGTGTCAAAAGTTTTTAACAAACAAATCCACTTGGAAAGTAAATTTTGTTTTTTTTTTTCGATATAATTCCAATGAAATCAATCAGTAACAAAATATTGTTAAAAAAAAATAAAATGGAAGCAAAGTTCAAGGTTGTCAGTTATATTTTATTGTGAATTAAATTGTAGAATATCAATTTCTGGGAATAATCAAACAATTATAATGAGATATCAAAAGAAAAGGGTATCGTACAACAACAGAGGAAAAAGATACGAAAGCTTTATATCAAACCTTCAAAGATGG